TTCACCATACTTCCTCAATCTATACACTGAGCAAATAATCTGAGAAGCTGGACTATATGAAGAAGAAGGTGTCATCAAAATTGGAAGGAGAATCATTAACAACCTGTGATACACTGACAACACAACTTTACTTGCTGGAAGTGCAGACGACTTGAAGCACTTACTGATGAAGACTGAAGAATACAGTCTGCAGTATGGATTACACCTCAATATAAAGAAAACAAAAATCCTCACAACTGGACCTATAAGCAGCATCATGATAAACGGAGAAAAGATTGAAGTTGTCAAAGACTTCACATTGCTTGGTTCTACAATTGACACCAATGGAGGCAGCAGTCAGGACATCAGACGAAGTATAGCACTGGGCAAGTCGGGTGCAAAAGACCTCTTTCAAATGCTGAGAAGCAAAGATGTCTCCTTGAGGACTAGGGTGTGCCTGACACAAGCCATGATATTTTCAGTCACCTCACATACATGTGAGAACTCGACAATGAATAAGGAAGGCCAAAGAACAATTGATGCTTTTGAGTTGTGGTGCTGGTGAAGAATGCTAAAAGTACAACGGACTGCTAAAAGAACTAACAAATCTATCCTGGAGGAAGTGCAGCCAGAAAACTCTCTGGAAGCAAGAATGGCCAGATTTCGTCTCACCTACTTTGGTCATGTTATTAGAAGGGACCATTCCCTCGAGAAGGATGTCATGCTTGGTGAGACGGAGGGTTGACGAAGGAGGGGAAGGCCCTCAACAAGACGGATTGACACACTGGCTGCGATGATGGGCTCAAGCATAGCAGGGATCACAGAGCTGGCACAGGAGCAGGCAATGTTTCGTTATGTTGTACATAGGGTTGCTATGAGTTGAAGATGACTAGATGGCACCTAACAACAACAACAAACCCAGCCATTTGGTGGGAGTCACAAAGACCATGGCTAGAAGAGCCATATTAAGCCATTCACTGCATCACAGAGACACAATTCAATCCATAACAATGTCCATATCCAGGGACTGTTCCCTTCTGATAACATATCCAAAGTGAGATGAAGTCTCACTATTCTTGTTTCTAAGGAGCATGCCGGCTGTACTTCTCCCAAGACAGATTTGTTCATTCTTCTCTCTATCCATGGTATATTTAATATTCTTCACCAACAGCATAATTCAACTGCATCAACTCTTCTTAAGTCTTCCTTATTCATTGTCCAGCTTTCCCATGCTTATAAGGTGAATGGAAATACCATGACCAGGGGCAGTAACACTTTAGTCCTCAAAATGACATCTCTGCTTTTTAACACTTTAAAGAGATCTTTTGTAGCAGATTTGCCTGATGCAATATGATGTCTGATTTTTTAAAAAATTTTTATTGTGATTTGGGTGAAGGTTCAGAGCAAATTCACTTTCCATACAGCAGCTCACATACACTTTGCCTCATGACATTGACTGCAATTTACCACAATGCAACAGCTCCCCTCCTACTTCCTCCCCATAGTTACCTCTTCCCTGTGTCCTTCTTTCCCATGCACTCCTGCCCCCCGAGCTGTCTTATTGTGCATACACTGCCCTTCTATTCTCCCATGATTAATATCTCCAATGAGTGTATCTACCTAATGTAAATGTTCATCTCATATGCCTGTCTTTTGTTTGGCCGGAAGCCACAGGAGTGGATTCAATTCCAGACCTAAGGGCAGCTAGGGGTCATAGACTCAGTGGTTCTGTCATGATGTCTGATTTCTTGACTGCTACTTCCATGGCACTGATTGCAAATCCAAGTAAAATGAAATCCTTAACTTCAATATTTTTTCCATTTATCATGTTGTTGCTTATTAGTCCAGTTATGTGGATTTTTCTTTTCTTTATATTAAAGTGTAATCCAATCTTCATCAGTAAGTGCTTCAAGTCCTTTTCACTTTCAACAAGCAAGGTTGTGTCATCTGCACATCACAGGTTGTTCATGTCTTCCTCCAATCCTGATGCTGTATTCTTCATATAGTCCTACCTTTTGGATTTGCTCAGCCTACAGATCGAATAAATATGGTGAGAGATACAACCACCATTCATCTGTTTGTCATACTGTGGTGGCTTGTGTGTTCTTGTGATGCTGGACAGGTTTCAGTGAGCTTCTGGACTAAAACAGACTGGGAAGGACTTGGCAATCTACTTCTGAAAACATTGGTCAGTGAAAACTTTATGGATAATAGGCCTCCTACGGAGTTAAACAACCATCTTTCTTCCACATTACTGCCCAATCAGGGATGAGCAAAGAACTCCTAACGCATATAATCCTAGTTAAGAAGGTAGGGTTCAGTCAAGTTCATTGGCTCTGAGTCATAATCCCCCTACACTTGAGGTTTCCAGAATTCTAGCCCAGCACTGCTATTTTTTTTTCTTCTAATATTTTACTGTTGTCAGTGAAAATTTACACAGCAAATTAGGTTCCCAACAATTTCTGCACAAATTGTTCAGTGACATTAGTTACATTTTCAACAATGTGTCATTATGTTGTTTGTTCTGTTTTCAGTACTTCCGTTTTCCTGCCCATTCTCATCTTTGCTTTAATTGACCTTTGGTCTCATATAGATGGTTTTTTAATAAAGCCCCATACTCACGGGTAATATCCTTTATTTTGTGTATCTGTTATTTCACTAAAAAGGTGACCTCAGGATAATTTTGATTTAAGGTTGTGGTGTAGTAAATTACATGGTGGCTTTTCTAGCAATAGTCTTTGTAAACTCTGTGGTAGAATTTGCCATGAGCAACTGAGTAGCTCCTTATTGTTAAAGTTATCTACCTGGTGTATTTCTGTTGGTGCAGCATGAAGCAATCTTCTAGGAAGTTTGCTCTCTCTCAGGTGTATAGAATTCTAATGTTGGGATTGGTTAGTTTTGCTTCTCTGCTTAAAATAAACCCTCCTAGAGGCAGGAGTCTCTCTGACTGCTGGCTGAGAAAAATGTGCTGCCGAGAGATGTGAGACATGCACTGCTGAGAGAAACTGAGCACATTCCTTAATCTGAACTGTGGCCTGTTGCTTCCATAATAAACCCTAAATCTGTGAGTTCTGTGTGGCCACTGCAGCGAAATACCAAACCCAGCAGAGAGGTGGTGGGTGCTGTGGGAGGAACGGTTGGTGTGTAGCTTAGTAAGAGGGCTGGAGGGTGGCGACATGTCTGACCTCACAGGAGCACGCACTGGACTGCTGATGGTGATTCTGTCCTCCTCTTGTGTAGTTAGAAGAGGTCAGAAGACGTTGCCTCCTTGCTCCTTTAGCAGAGATTTAAAGAGTATCTCAGGGCAACAGTTTCATGGAGTCTTTTTTTAGTTCTGTTCCACATCTTTCCCATTCTTCCCAGGTCCATCTATTGTGATCCTGATCAGAATAGTCGGTAGTAGCAGTCGGGCACCATCTAACTTTTCACGTCTCAGGGCCAGTAGTGCCACCTCTTGTAATCAAGGCTTGGAGAAAGAAAATGTAAACCTATTCCACCAGAATGGCCTCTGATTGGGTATCTTCCATTAGATCTGAGAGAAGTGGTTCTCAAACATTAGGTGCATCAGAATCACCTGGAGGGCTTGTTGAAACAGTTTGCTGGGCCCCACCTTCTGATTTAGACGGCTGACATGAGGCCTGGGAACCTGCATTTGTAACAGGTTCCCAGGTTATGCTGCTGATGTTGATCTAGGGACCCCGCTTTGAGGACCACAGCCCCAGAAGCTCTGTATTTTGTAAATTTAAGCAGCAATCAACTCATATTCCTGTCTTCTCACTGTGAGAATAATGAATATGGATGAAAGTTGCAGGCAGAAATCAATTTATTTAGCACTGTGTACCAGGTACTTGGGAGGCACTTTCTCACACTTTCTTTTTCAATCCTCACAACAGCCCTGTGAGGTAGGAACTGCCTCCATTTTACAGATAAGGGAACTCAGGCTCAGGTGTTAATAGAGGGGCCCAAGGTGACCCAGGTAGTATGTGGCAGACTCCAAAGCTGGTGTTTATCCTGCCACACAGTGTTTAAAAGGCCTGCACCATAAAACAGTAAAAAGAATTTAGGAAGTCCTATGTAAAGGAGGTGTTTCATTACCTCCTATCTCCAGATTGAAGCGCTGAGCAAGACCCACAGGGCAGCAAGAATCATTTATCCTAACAAATGGCCTTTCTGGGAAAGGCATTCTGCAAGGGCTTAAAAGTCCATGCAGAGGCACAAATGAACTGAAAGTTCTAGGCAGAGTTAGACAGAAATCAGCTAAGGGCAGCTGCCAAGATCTCAGAGGAGAAACCTAATGGAGAGCAGGATTCTTACACAGGACAAGAATTATAGCCAGTGGTCCTTGGAGGAAAACCTAGCAGTAAATTCATATGGGGAAAGTCTATAAAGAAATTACAACATCCAGTGCATTTCTCCATGCGCACCTGCTGAGACCTCTTCCTGTGAGAGAGCCTGCAGTGGGGAATGTGACATATGTGCTCTGTCTGCTCCTTTAGGGAATACTTTAGCAGTGGGAGGAGGTAAACATCAGACCACTGGCAAAGGAAAGGTCAGAGTATGCCCAGTAATGCAGACAGGAAACAGGGCATGAGGGACTAGGAGCAAACTGGGAACTGGGGCTAGAGAAAACCAAGCAAGAACTGAGGTTAGGCTGAGCATCTGTCAAGCTAAAGGGTGGGATCTGTGGTTTAGTCACCACTGTGACCATTTGTACAGTTCTCTTTTTGAGTCTTGGGTTTTATATTTTCCTTATTCACCTAGAAGCAACCACCTGCTTGAGAACCAATGGAAGGATGCTTCAGTGGATGTGGGCTCCTTTCTCTCATCAGGAAGTTCTATGTTGCAAGAGGAATGACTGCAAAGAGTGTCCTGAACTATGGTTTTAGAGTTCAAGGTCTCAAAATACACAGTGAGCTACCACCACACAGGCCTTACCCTAAAGGACAAATAGGTCCTCTCTCACCTGGCCTGACGTAGACATTGGCACTCAAAGTCCCAGGATGCCCTAACCCTTTAAGAGGTCATGGGTATGGAGAGAACACGGGAGCCTGGGGGAGGGGGCAATTGAGGCGACATGGGGGATAATGCAAGGATGGAGAAAGAAGGCCAGGGGCCTTGGGAACAATGATTTGAGGGGAACTAAGGGAGAGCAGGCCTGGAGCCCCTCGCTCAGCATGGGGAAGTGGCTGAGGCAACCCAGTTGATAGAGGTGGTACACAGACTCTTCTTCGCTGATTCTGCTGAGAAGGGAGAGGGAAAGGCACTTGATACTTTTCAAGTAGCACAGCCTATGCCCCTCACCCCACCTATCCTTACCCTCCCTCACCCATCTGTGGTAGAAGGTGGTACTCCATGGCATTGCAATCTCAGCCAATTCTCCCACCTGCTGCCTCAGCTGAGAGTGGGCCTGGCCCTCTTACCAGGGAGAGTTGGAGAAGGCAAGAGTGGAGCTCCCGAGCTGCGTCCGGCTGGGACCCACCTCTGAGAGTCTCCTGGAATACAGCAGCTGCCTCCTCAAAGTGCTTTGGTCCCAGAGGGATCAGAAAGAGGAAAGCTTGAGTATCAAGAGGATGGGGAACTTAAAGCTGCTCCTCTCCCCAAACTGGCCCCAGCTCCTAGCGTAACGAATATTGATACTAAAAGCTTACCTAGAAAATGCCAATGTAGACCCAATCTCCACTCCATTCCATTCAAGTCCCTTCTCTACTTCCAACCCCAAACCAATTACCTTTAGTCCCATCAGGGCCTTGCCCAGGCGGAAGAGGCCCCGGGGCCAGCCAGGACGAAGGGTAAGGGCTACCTGAGCATCTGCCAGGGCCCACACCAGCTGACCAAGACGTTCATGGCAGAAGGAGCGGTTTCCAAATAACCTGACAGAAAGTGGCCAAAGGTCAGCGTCCTGAACATGCTACCTTGCCTTTACCTCCAAGCACAGCAGCCAGGTCTCCACCTACCGGTGATCACGAGGATTGAGCTTCAAGGCCTGGGTGAAGAGGCCCACGGCCTCATGGTAGAAACCATTTTGGGCAAAGCTGGTACCCAACTCTGGGGAGGAGAGAAGGTGGAAAGTTCAGATGGGCTTCCCCTTGGAAGGGTAGGGTGAGGGGAAGAGAGTCTCACTTGCCAGCTCTTGGCTCTGCTGTAAGGCTGCTGCCAGCAGTCCTGGAGATGATACCTAGGGATAGAGAACAAAGTCAAGCAAGCCTTGAGGCCTCTGCTTCCCCAAATCCTTCTCCTTTGTTCAAAGAACTAACACTGCAGTTAGAATCATTCATCTCATGTAATTTTCACAATACCCCAGCAAGATGAAATCAGCCCTGTCTTCTATGGAGTCAGGGTGACAGTGAGGGACTCTGGCTGCAGGTCACTTGATTCTAGGGCCAGAAAACTCCCACTGGCTGCCCCCTTGGCCCTTAGGTATTGGGACTTCCCAGACCCTTCTGGTACAGCTTCCTCTGGTTTCAGTTGAGGATCTCCTGCCCACCTCACCTCAGCCTTAGGACTCTGCTTGGGGCTCTCTTCTTTTGGAGGTCTCCTTTCATCTTGGGCCCTCTTCTCCTGGGTACCCTGTTTCCTGCCTTGGGGCTCCTGGCCCAGTCCTTTGTCTCTTTGGGCATTGGGGGGCCAATCCCCAACCTTGCGCAAAGCCAGAGACACAAAAGTGCTAGATAGATCCAGTGAGTCCTGTGGGCAGAAAGGAAAGTTGGGGTGGTACGAAATATGTCCCAGAGTAGGGGGAGGAGAGAGGAGGAAGAGGGCAAAAAGGGAAGGAAGGGGGCTGTCACCTCTTCCTCACCACACTGTTCCTGAGTTGGGTTCCTGGGGCTGGATGGGGGGCTCTCATCCCCACTGGGGGTCATCTCAGCCTGGAAGGAAGGTGGACAGGTACAGAGCTGAGTCCCTGCCTTCTCAGCCCCACCTTTCTGGCCCTTGGTGCTCTTATCACTTGCCTGTAGATACTCACATTGGCTTCCCCACTGTCCTGCTCCACGCGTTCCTGCAGCTTTCTTTCCTTTTGACGCTATGACAATAACGATGATGCTATAGTTTCAGCACTTACTATATACAACATACTGAACTAAGAGTTTTACATACACTATCTCACTTAATTCTTGCAACTTCGTGAGATAAGTATTACCCTCATTTTATACGTGAGGGAAAAAAAAAAAAAAAGAGTCACCAACCAGAGGTCTCACAGTAAGGTGGGAGCTAGGTTCCAGCCCAAGTGGTATAGAGAACCACATGCTGGAACCACCCTATCATATGGCCTCTGGGGAGACCCTCCAATCTCTAAGCCCATGGGTCCTCCTTTAAAAGGATCCACTGACAGCCACTTCGAGCTTTCTCCTGTGTGATCACAAAATACTCTCTTTCCATCACCCCATCCCCTCTGGGCTTCCACTCCTTCTGCCTTCTGGTCACCTTCTTCTTCAGTCGCTTCTTCTCTGCTTTCTGTTTTATACGCTCCTCCTCAGCCACCAGCTCCTCAGCCAGGCGGTTAGCTTCCTGAAGGAGAAAGGGCAGTTGAAAGGAAAAGAAAGAGAGGGAGAGTGAGAGAGAAAGCAAAAGGGAGGCAAGCTGAATGGAAAAGCCTTGAAAGGTACAGATTAGGGGAAAATATAAGGATGGGAACATGAGATTGAAAGAACCTGAGGGGAAGGGAAGACCCTCTGGAGAGTCTTACCTCTTCAGTTGCTAGGAGCTTCTGGGGCATGGCTACCTGAAGCAGGCTGTCTGAGTCACTGGGGAAGGATACAGAGGTAGAGGGGCTTTGAGGGCAGGACCTAGACTCCTGGGTAGAGGACAGAAAGGACTTTCGGAGACCACAGTAGGTGCCCAGTCCTTCAGCCCCTCTGTCCCTGCCACTCTGTTTAGGTGTTTTCTCCTCATCACAGAAATGGTTCAGGAGGTAATCTGTCAAGAGGAAGAAAGAGAAGGGCTATCTGAGAGGGGCACACCTGAGGACTAGCCCTCCCCAGGGTACCAGACTCAATCCTGAGCTGTGCCCCTCCGCTCCCTACCATGGTGCCACAGCTGCAGCCGCCCGCTGCTCCCATCCACATGGATCCGGTGCAGGCCTTGGGGATCACTCTCCACAAGCCTTGGAAGAAAATCCACTATGTCCTGGGGAGGGGGAAGGGAGGCTGGTGTTTGGGGGGGGCTCTGGGAGAGAGAGCAAGAGGCTTGGCTGGGTTAATCCTTCCACCACGGCAGCCACAAATGAGCCACCCAACCCAGAGAACCTTACCTAGCCCTGATCTCTCCCATCTCAGCCCCTCATCTGATCTGCCTCTGGCTTTCATGGTGCTTTCCTGTCTTGAGCGTGGCTATCAGCCTAGCCTTCTACACCACCTACAATCTCTTCCCGTGACCTGCCTCTAGGTCAGCTATATGGAGGCCTCTGAGATAGAGCCCTCTTCCAGCTCCACCCCTGCCATATCCTTGAAGCCCCCATATAACCCACCCTGGGACTGCCTCATGCCTAACCAAGTGCTGGTCTTTCCCCGGTATGTCATCTCTCCATGCACTATGCAAAAATGATCTCACAGCAATTACTCCCTTCCTCAAAAACTGCCAGTAATCCCCGACTGCCAGGACAGCAGACAGGATCACATCTAGCTCCTTAGCCTTAAACTTGGAGCCTTCCAAAAAGCTCCTTGGCTGGTTTTTCCAATCTTCTCTTATAATCCTCCTCTGTTTAACTGCTTTCCTCCCTCTGCCATCAGGCTCCTTTCAGCCTTGGGGACTTCCCCCAGCTACTCTTGAATCCCTCCTGGCTGTGACCTCACCACATTTTGTCCTGCCTTCAAGGACTGGTTCAAATTCCATCTCCTCTCAAAACCTTTCCAGACCCTCTAATCTCCAATTACTTCTGCCTTCTCTAAACCAAGTTGCATTTATATAGTTCAGATTGTATAATTTAGAACTTTATTATTCATTGCCTTTTACCGCTCTCTTAATTGCTGAGGGAGCATGGAACTGGAAAGAGCACTATTTACATCCTACATTTGGCTCTGCCACTGCCTGGCTAAGTTATTTTGGGACAAGTTGCTTAACTCTCTGGACCTCAGCTTCCTTATCCATAAAGGGAGGAAAGGTTCTTCCAGATTTGGCCCATACATTCTTTGGTTCTGATGAGAGTCATTTCCTCAGTTATTGGAACTACTGGAGG